CATTCCAATTATCTCCAGTACTTATAGTAAGCCTCCAGTTATTCCATTTTTGTTACACAAATAAACTCTCAATTTATAAAATAGGTCATGGTAAATTTTTCGTCCTGGTCTAAAAACAGCAAGGCAACTGGAGAAATAAAATTGTATGTGATATATGGTGGGTTAGCACAGATGACCTCATGGCATTTTTTTATTTTTTTTTTACCATAAACCTACCACAATCCTAATGAATACATATCTGTATCCACAGTTTTCATATTTTAAAAATAAATAGATCATTGCTAAGAGTTTTCAACTAGGGAAATGTCATAATGAAATACTAAAATTATAAAGTCACTATAGTTCCCCTCATCATGTTAGACACATTTCTCTCCCAAGACAAACACTGCTATTCAACATAGCAAGTCACCCATGGTTTGAAAAAAATACACATAAAATGAAGAATATACCGCTGAAGTGTTCATCTCCTACAAATTACCGTGATTCTTAGGTTGTATTTGTTAAAAAAAAAAAATTTCCACAGGTGGAATTTCAGATTTTTAGTCATTCTCATGTACTGATCTTCTAAGGTCCTAACAAAATACTCAAAATCATGCAAGCCCCTGATTAAACCAGGAAGAAAATCTGCATGCATGCAATTACAGTGTCTGCAAGGGCAGACGCAGATGACAGTAATTCATACTCTAAGAAATGGGCTTGTGCATTTGGCAGATTAACTGTTCTGTATTCCATTGCTATGAGGTATGGAAACTGTACTGCGAAACAACCATTACTCATTCCCTCAGCTCTGAGCACGTAGGTCTATCAAAGGCAAGCCAGGCTGGAGAGGGTGGGGGGCAAGCGCTGGAAAGAGAAGAGTCTACACGTTTCAGATTAACGCTTCTCTTGAATGGTTTCTTTTATTTCATTTCCCCCACTTTTTAAATTAGCAAATACAGTAGGCCCAGAAGGGGAAATGTGCGAGGGGAAGAGGGAGAGAGGGGAGGGAAAGGGAAAAAGCAAAAGCAGCCAAAACTCTCCAACTTGTTCATTAGGGGTTTTGTATTTGAACATCTGAATGAATCATGTGTCTGTTTTTCATTATTCTCCATATGTATTTGTTCTTTGCTTTGTTCAGAGATTTCTGGCCGTTTTGTCATGACTGTGCTTATTTTGTTTTATATATTGTTCTGTTACAGGGTGATTGTTACTTCTTCTCTGCCTCACTTAGCAGTTACACCACCAACAAAGAGCAATCTGAAAATGAGAGGTTATGTCAAAAGGTGTCCCTAGCTAACTCCCTTGCAGCCTATATGATTAATTTAGGTCTGACTGCTTAATTCAGACCAGGGAGAAATCCTTAGATAACACTGCTCCTTATCATGACAGGAATGTTGTGGGTATCTTTTTAAAAATCTGAGGAACAGTGGAGAATGACTTAAAGTACATCACTGAATGTTTTCCTCATTTCTCCAAAAGGAAACCTTACACTTCTTGCTAAGCAGTAACCTGTTTTAACAGATCTGCTGTTGCACGGAAGTTTTGAAATAATTTCCTTGCTAAATTAAATATTTCTACTTTCAGCTTTACTCTATACCTTGGTCAATACACAAATGACACTGAAATACATTCTGAAATCACTAATCATGTCATAATTTCTATCATCTCCTTGAATTTAATCCACCTTACTTCATTGGATACACATCACAGGATGATATGCTCATTTAACAAGATAATCTCGTACTTGGCAGAAAGTGAGTGAGACCCAAAAGACTGGAAAGGAGCAAACAGGTAGTGTGGGTTTTTTTCCCTTTTTGTTGTTTGAATACTGGGTTTTTTGGGTTTGGGTGAAAGGTGCATTGTGTTGGCCCAGGGGGAGGTTGATGCTTGCTGTTGTTTTTTTCTGGGTTTTTCTAAGGAATAGGTGTAAACTCCACAGTTTTAGAGACAGTTTCAACTTCTGGAAAAATCTTGGAGCAAACACTTGTATGAATCCATTCACAGACCCTCTCAAAGGTGGTGATTAGTCCTATGCAGCACAGATTCAGAAAGAGTAAAAAATGTCATATCGTAATTTTGTCTAAAAGTATGTAACCAGCCTTATGAATAGCTCAATAATATATATTTTAGTTAAATCTTGCTTCTCGTTCATAGCTTGAGCAGATAGGAGAAAAAAGGTCTAGCTGAAAATGCTGTGAAGTAGGTGTCAAACTGATTAACAGATCCAATTTTAAAAATAAGTTCTCAATGGCTTAGTACTGCACTACCTGGTGTACTGAGAGGGTTTTCTCCAAAGTCTTCCCCAGGTCTGTTATTATTCACTCTTTTCCACATTATCTTGTCCAGTGGATTAGAGAAACCATTTATTTACTGTGAAGAGGATACTAAAGAGGTAAGTGCTGCAAGCACTCTGGAGGCTTAAGATTATACTCAAATCTTAGTAAATTAAGGAGACCACAGGAAAAAAATAGGATAAAATTCAATACAGACAAATGAAAAGTTCTAGCTCTAGGAGGGAATAATCAACAACCCAGAGCAGAGCACAGAATAAGGAATGCCTGGCTGGCAGCAGCACTGCAAGAGAGTAACAAAACCAGGAAGCTATTCTGAGATATTCTGTGGCTGCACAAAATATCTCAGCACAAACCAGCACCATTTTCCTCATGCAACACCCTCTGCCTCAGAGATGCATCTATATTTTAAATACATATAAAATTATTTATATGTATCAACAAAGAAAAGGGTTATGTGATCACAGAGAAGACAAATGAAACCCTCTATAATGTTCAAAATTATCAGATTTAGGCCATCTAAAATCCTCTGCCCAGCTCCAAGATCTTCAGGTAAGGAGTGAGCTGATTAGAGAGACCAGCAAAGTACAATATATTGAGAAATGTAAAACAAATTGCCTTTAAGGAAAAATTTAAAGAACTAGCGTGTTCTAACTAGAAGAACACACTAGCTTAGTCTAAGGAAAAGATAAGGTAGATGCAGATCAGCCTTCACATATATGTTTGCTGCAAAAAGGAAAGGAATAAACTGCTCTACGTGTCCACCGGGGATAAGAAAAGAAGCAATAGATTTAAATTGCATCAAGAAAGATTTAGGTTAGACATTAGGAAATGCTTCATTATAGTGAGGAGAGGAAGTGTTATCACAGTTTGCCTGAGGAGCTTCAGGAATCTCTACCACTGGAGGCCCTCGAGTGAAGGTTACAGAAATACTCCTCAGCGGTGGGTCAGAGCTGATCCAACCCCAAGGCAGGTCCTGACCACTTCAGGTCCCTTCCACTTCTGATTCCTGGGAAGCTTTTTCTTTTTTCTTGGCAGCCTTACTGAAGAGAAAGGAAATTGTACCCAGCATTTAAAGCAGTAAAAAAAAAAATCTATTCTTTTTTATGCCATAAAGCATACTGTTAATAAATCCAATTATGTTTATGATCTTTTAATGGCGCTACTTATGTCATAAAGATCCATCTCTGAAAATCAAATAGATACCTCTGCCCTACAGTGTAATACAAAAGCATGAAAGCAAACTAACAGAAAATACCAATTCATTGTTATATGGCTCCTATTAAAATTATCTTAAAGCTAACTATAATATACAGAACACTAAACCCAGACATTTTTCTTTCTCAAAATTTTACCATTCATAATCTTTACAATATTTTCATTTCACATTTTGTGTTTCACAAACAGATCCACTCCTTCCCTTGTTTACCACCGGCAATGGGAGCAAAGGAAGTTTTGCTCACAAGAGTATTGCTTTATAACGCAATTAAAAAAAAAAAGCAAAAGTACCACCAAATCCCAAATACAATGAGATCTTATTCCTGGTTTCAGATTCAAAGAAAGAGAGTGATGTTATCAGGATTCTGACAGATGAGTGCCCCGAGGAAATCAAACGCACGTTCAGGCAAAAGCAAATGCACAGCAGTGCAACTTGTGACAACAGCCCATGACCAACTGGGTCAGTGGGGTTTTCTAAGACTAGAACTGCAGTCTTCCAGTGTGCTTTTCTCCTGAATACCTAATGAGTGCTGGTTTTGGCAGGCAACAGATAAAGTCACACGCTTCTACAAATCTCAAAAACATCTTTGGTATGAGATATTTCTCCCATCTCATAATTTCCCCAGAATGCTTCTCTGTTGCTTCTCTTCACCCCATATCCGGCCACTCACAAAATAGTCCTAAACTGCAATGCCTTTTCTTTTTACTAACACATATAGAAATGCTATCCAGGATGTGCTTCTTTTCAGGAGAACCCACTCTAGTAGATCTTATGACTCCAGAAGTTTTCTGTACACCTCTTGTGGAAACCTACAGAATCATTTTAAGGCACAGTTTCACCCCCACAGACTCAGTGACACTGCAGACTCATAAATGAGTAACCCATTTTAGTCCTGAGATACTACTGCACATGTTAGTCAATATTTTCCTCAGCAAATATAGCCACACACACACACAAAACATCCTATATTACACTTAAAAATATTTTCATACATTAGCAGAAATCTAGCAGAAAAATTAGGAACATAAAACTGGAAGAGGAATTATTTCTATATCTTGGTATTGCAATTTGCAGATCTATTTGTGTTATAAAAAATACTTTCTTCTTCCATTAGCATATGCCAAGACTTTGCAAAAATATAAAAATTAGACCAAGTTTTCCTTGGGAAACTTTTCCCAAAGGTTTCTCAGTTTTATATAAGAAATCAATTTGCATCACTGATGATATCATTCAAATCAGACAGCACTATGTGGTTAGAAGGTAATTTACTCTTCTGCTGAAGCAATTTGATACTTGTTCTGATTTGTGATTTTCATTTTGTTTGTTAATGAAAAAAATTAATGAGCAATGTTACTGGAAGCACAACTCAAAGCTTTGGCATTATTAAATATGTTTGTAATATACTGTGCATTATGTTGATTGCACAGTTGGAGTCAGAGCTTTGGCAGTCAAGCCACCAGTCAATCATTCAAACTGATAATGAACTCACAGGGTGGACACTTTGCACGTACCTTTGCACTGATTTGTGTTTTTGTCAAGAATTGCCTTTGTGGATACAATTTTCCCATACCTATGGAGAAAACAAAAATCAGAGGTACAAGTTACTATATTTTAGTAAAGCACATAGTGATTTTTTGCATGCATATGTAACACATATCCTAGGAAGAGGTCTAGAGCTTTTCAAAAATGTTCATGAGATAATCCTGGAGAGATCCCTTATGCCACTACCTCAAACACCTTTATAGCTCCCCTGAAGAGCCCTTGCCACAACCTGCCCATCTCTGGTCCATGCACTGCCAGCATAAATGCCAATCATAGTAAGGATTTTAGAACACTCACACTAGTAAAGAGGCTTCTTTGACTAAATTATTTTAAGTTTGTTTGGTTTAAATACAGATGGACCACATTCCTTCAGGATTAACAAAAATGCAGGAATTATGGTCACTTTTTATACACAGGCACGCACAGCTGTGCTCATGTGTGCATTCATGTCTATGTATATACACTCTATCTAGTTTGGATAAACAGAACCTTGGAGGCTTGTGTGCATCTCCCAGCTCTTTCCAAGATGAATGTTAATACTCATTTGAATTTATATCACCTCCCGTAGATAGCATGGCACTGAACTGCAATTTGATAGACTCAGCACGGTGAAGAGGGAATTCCGGCAGCTACAACTTGTTATATAAAGCAACTGGACCATAAAATAGGTATCTGTGTTTACCTCACAGAGGTTAAGACTAAAAGCGCAGACTTAATAATGAGTATCACAAAATCTTGGAAAAAAAGCCACAGAAGATAGAACTTATGGATGAACATAAGACATCAGAAGAATAAGTGAAATAATTTTATTTCTCAAATCACTGATGCATCTAGGTCTTTGTTGAAGAGAACTTCCCTTAAAATGCCCTTTCCCACATTTTTAAAAAATCATTATTGATATTGTGATATATTGGGCTTTCATTTTGAGGACTTTTCCATGAAACACAAGTTTCTACATCCACAAAGGACATATTATTACAAAAGGTTTAATAAAATTGTGTCTTCTAATGGCAAAGCAACACCCATGAAAAATAACCCACATCAATTATAAACCATTGAAACATATGTTAGACAAATGCTTATTTGGTTTATCTTTATTAACAGCAATATAAATTTGATGTTAGTGACTTCTACTTGAGATACAGAAATCAGATTGTGGAAAACCTTGCTGCTATTTCCTTCTCTGCCTCAGGAGGAAATCAATGTCTCCCACTATACAGAAACTCTAAGGGCAGCTAGAGCACTGTACCACACACTCTTCTTTGTCCTATGGCTCTGTAAAAATGCTCAGGAAACCATTTAAAAAGAAAAAAATAAAGAAAAAAAAAAAAGGGGAAAAGACACACACAACACCCCCCCCAAAAAAAGAACAAACAAACAAAAAACCAAAATGCACACAAAGAAACAAAAACCAAACAAACAGGGAGACAAAGAGAAAACGGTATGATAACTTAGAGTGTAAAAGAGATCCTTGGGTTTTACTCTGGGATCAAGAAAACACTTAAATACCTCACAAAAGAGAGTAGCACCTACAGGAAAGACTGGGAATAGCCTAACTAAACATACTCTTTGATACCAGCAAAAATTTGAGACAAAATTCTCAGCTGAAGTTTCCATACTGCAAGTGACATGTAGCCATTCAGTTGAAGATAAAGGGCACTGCCTTTGCCTCTCTCTCTTTACTCTGCTTTTGTGAGTGATGCACAGTGAGATTTTACGTTTCACTGTTTTTCCTTTCCCTAAGAACTTGCAAACACATTTGTTTCCATTTGACTTTCATTTGAGGAGGAAAAGCATGTTTGGCTTCATTTTTTTTCAGACTGCAACCAGTCAGGAGGTGGAGGAAAAACTGACCTAAGGGTACTAATAATTTGTGAATACTAAGTCAAGCCCCAATTCAGCTATCTTTTAGGAACCAAAAAAAAGTCATACAACCCTTCCTCCCCTCCACCCCCTTTTTTTGCTGATTCTGTAGACCAGAATGATTTTGGGCTCTGGAGGCAGGTACAATCCATTGTTCACTGCACTATGATGGGTACATGGGCAGGTAGTTGAGAATCTATTTTGCCACAGCTGGCTCCACTCCAACCAAATACATAACAGATTTAATGTTAGCCATGATATCATATGCTTTTCTGACCTCAGGTGTTTCCAGAATTGGGGCCTTTATACTCACTCATGTTCCACTTAATTTTATAATTCTTTATGTACCCAAAGTTGACTTTGGCCTCTACAATATTAGAGTATATGTCTTAAGAAGGCAAAGAGAAATTCAGTTAAGTGATTTATAGCTGTTCAGTGGGTCAGCCTATGCAGCAGGAAATTTGGCTCGTGCAGTGCATCTTCATTTATTTGATTTACTTAGATTTAATATCAAATACATTAAAAACATGCAAAACCACACCTATCTTGTACATTAATGCACCTCTGACAGATAAATGGAAAAAGAATCTAACAAAAATCAATGGCTAACCCGCAACAACCTCAAATAAAACACAACCCCTACCAAAACTTCCACCACCAAAAACCAACACCCAGCCTCGATTTCAGTCCAGCCACTGCTAATGAATTGATATGTTGTTTCATCCAAGTCACCTGAGAGCTAGAAGTTTACATTTCTTGCCGGCAGAGACAGGCATTGGTGGTACCCCAGCTTTTATTACAGATTTCACAGAGTTATTTGCTCTGAACTGCAATCCTGCAAACACGTGGTTATGCTAGAGATTTTACTCACAGAATTCTGTTCCATTCAGGAAATGCTTCTCACCACATTCCAAGTTATGTGCACACCTTCACGTTTGCAAAGGCAGACATCACGGTGGTAAGAGGCACCACAATTACAAACACTGTTATAGGCAATTAGCCATATGTCGGCGATTTAATCTACTGCTATAAACCCTGAGTGCTACCACAAGAAAGTAATTGGAATTAATTTGGACACTGTTTTACTAAATATTTCAAGTAATTATTTTACAGTAATCAGAACATCAGTTCTGATGAAGAATGCTAGCTTGTGTGCTGCATGAAATCAGGAAGGTATTTTGTTGCTACAGATGCAGTCATATTTCTTTCGCTCATGTGTGAAGTGTGGTATTAAGCTATAGCTCATCTCCAAAGTTGTTTGGCTTTCTGCTTGTTTTATCTTCAGTTGCAATTTGATTCACCCAGAAGTACAAAAAAAAAGTATTCAATGGGAATGTTCACAAAATTAGGATAAAATACATCACAAGAGTTTACCTCCTGTTTTCTTGTATTTAAATGGAAATTATTACAAAATTCAACAGCCTGCACACCTGTGTGTTACAAATCATAAATGTAAAGAAATAACAGGTACAGTCTCCTTGTTATAAGAAAATGTGAGCAATATTTAATTTTCTCTTGACTACAGTTCATGGAAGTACTCTTTCAAAGACATTGAATCAAAAATTCTGGTCATAAAAGGATGATTGTAGAATTGAATTCACCTCGATGCCATATTACCAACCCTTCAAAATAATGGCTGTATCATTAAGGATAACCTACTGCATCATGCTGTCCAAGGAAATGGGTGTAATGAATCTGAGAAGGCTACCTCGAGAATGTGCCTATTGAGCATCTAAATTGAAACTGCTGTTCAAAAGGTTTCTTCCTGAAGTGTTGTCTGAATGCATAGTAACCACTAACAAAATTGTTCAAGTGCTTTTAAAAATCCTTGTAATTGTTGATATTGAATTATTTTTTTTATTTTTTTTTTTATATAATAGTTTTCATGCAAAACCAGGTGGTCAAATTTTGAAAGAGTTTCCATGTCAGGAGCAACTGCACAGACTAGGACTTCACCACATCAGTGAAGAACCCATGCAGTGAAATAGTGATTAGCTGCCTTCACTGTTTCCCATAATATATAAGGGCTGCCCAGAAAATTATAAAGTTTAAAATCTGCAGGTTCCAGAATGGAGAGCTACTTGGGGAACTCATTGCCGCAGCCCATGCCGATGCCCCAACAGAGACATCACTACAAAAAGCTATTGGATAGCTTCTAGGAGAGAAAATCTGTCATGAAATTAAAAGCAGACATGCTTGTGTCCGAGAAGTCACATACTACCAAAAACTGAGAGGATACCAGAGTAGCATCATCACATGTTGTCCCAGTTTTAACATCAGGCACCTTTACTTCCTGCTGCTGAAACAAATTCCTGTCTGGCCCAGCCCAGCCCAGCCCTTTTTATACTACAAGAAAACATTCAGTCGGGGGTGGAAATGCCTTCTTATAAACATAAACAATTTTACTTTATCTTGTATATAACAGTGAAACTGTTGAAGTCACCTGACATACTCTACTAAAATTACAAGGGTCACTTAAAAACTCTTCACTTACCAACAGCAGTAACTGACACCACGTCACACAAAAGGCAGAACTAAGAGAAGAGCCCACAGAGCTCTGCACAGAGAAACCATCTCCCTGTTCAGTCCTGGCTATAGAGCTATGTCAAAAATCACTCTTGAGAGACCCATCCCATTGCACCCCATATTTTCAGACTACTCAGCAGGCTCAGGAAAGATGCAAGCAATGCAAAATAAGCCCTTAATGTATGTACATCAAAGCAGATCACTTTAAGAGCTTTCAGGCAGGCGGTCGATCAGCACTTACACTACAGACAAAGCTCAACGTGATCAGTTCCAGAAAGTTATTTGATAACTGCTGTTAAAAGGGAGATAGCTCCTGAAGGAAACCATTCCTCTGTGAGTGATACCCCTTATTATAAGATGCATGAACCTTAATCACAGCCAACCCCAAACTGAGGAGAATTTGCTGTCTCAAAGCACACAAAGAATTTGAGCCATTTCTCCTCCTGCCTGTGGAAAGCTAGGGTGCAGGGGAGGTAAGTGGACAGCTAGGGTTAGGAGACAAGTGAGATTCAGCCAAGGACTAGCTGAAGGCAGAGCAACCAGAGCACCCACCCCACTGCTGGCAGGCAACATGCCAGGCGAGGAAGCTGGCTGAGCAACAGCTGTCACCAGGAGTTGCTGCATCAAAGAGCGGATTTC